GTTTGGGTAATTTGTTTTTTTTATTTTGGGGAGTTTTTAGAGGTTTTTTTGTTTTTAAGTTTTGGTAATTGTTTTTTTTTTTTAAATTTTTTTTTTTTTTTTTAAACATCTATATAGTTGTTCATTCATATTTTGAATTAATTAAAATTTTTTGCATTTTTTTGTTTAATTAAATATTTAATATATAATATTTTTAATGAAAATTTTTAATGTAATCTTTTGGTGTGTGTTTCCCCCCCAATTTTATTAGTTTTTTTTTTACGTATATGTAGTTATTTAATAAATAATTTGAAATGGTTTTCATTTTTATATTTTGTGTTTTAATTTTAATTTAAATGTAATATTTAAATTGATGTTTTTTTGTGTTTTTGTCATTTAATGTTTTTTTTTACATCTATATAGTTTTTTAATTAATTTTATTTCAGTTTTTGTAATTTTCATATTTAAAGTTAAAATGAAAACTGGATTGAATAAAAACGAAAAATAAATTAAAATAAATAACTAAATTAAATAAATAATATTTCAGCTCCTGGCCAAGTTGCAAAGAACCCCCCCCCCATTTTTTTTTCCAGTTAACATCTATTTTATTTCAAGTAACAATTTTTTTTATGGTTTTAGTTTTAGTTAATAATATTAACCCTGACGCAAAGTATCACTAGTACTATATTGTCCTTGAAAATACCTCAAAAGGTCACGCAGTGACCTTTTTGCCACTAGTTTAGCATATTGCTTTGAATTCAAAGCTCATTATTGTCAAACAGCACTAACAGCACACCTGGTTATGCTCATGGTTAGTGCTCAGGAGGTCAAGTTTGGATGCTCCTTGTAACCATGACAACAGTCTGTGCATCTATAAGTGCTGACTAAGATGCTTTTGTGCATCTCTCTGCGTGCTGTTGTGCTGAAACTCAGAAACTCAGACAGAGGCCCATTAATCACAGCCGTCTCCTCTGACTCAATTAAAATGACAGGCTATTTCCTCTTATTGCACCAGCATTTCATGCCCACGCATCTGCATCTGCATCTGCAGCAAAACACACGGCTGCAGGTGTAGCATCTGCTTTTTAGGCCCATTATTGCTGTAAAAGAGGCTTTGTGTTCTTTTACACATGGCAAATAATTACCAGCTTTCTCTAAATGCATGCACTTTTTGCGATCATTAGCTCATGAGCATCCTTCAGATGCATTAGCAGGATGTTTCTGTTTGTGTTCACACTACAATGGATGATAGTTTGATTCTCAAGTTGTCAGAAAAGTGCTAATTAATGAAGTCATTTCACTGCTCATACTATTTCTGCAGTATGAATACTGTATACAGTATGTAAATGTGGTTTGCATGGAATATTGTTTGCAAAAATGTGCAATATACAACAGCAAAGAGCACTTTGTATGTTATACTGCATGATGCAAATCGCTCAACTTGACCTTCCATTTTAGGTTCAAATTAATATCTTTTTAACATTTGATCAGGGTCCTAATTCAGTTTGATCAAATTTAAGGTCATAAAAATGTTTAAATATCTTGAAATGGTATAAGAAATGTCTTAATTATCATTTTAAGAGGTCTTACATTTTGGGAAGGAAAAACAGAAATCGTGATACGGCCTGATTTGATTATTAAACTTCAAAAGGCAATGTTTAAACTACATAAATATGAGCTCTGCTTGCTTATGGTCCACTTTTGATGAATTATGACAGTGTTTATTCATGGTTTTTATGTTGTAATATGTTATAGATGGTTGAAAGAGTGCATATTTTTCCCTCATTTTTTTAAATGAGCAGCTGGAAGAAGCAAAGCGTAGGCGTTTCACAATAAGAGTCCCAGAGTATTTGAGGCTTGTTTATAATTGAAAGCCCCACATTATTCTGGATATTATTTGTATTTTGGTTACACAACAAATGGTATCTGGCATTTAAATCTGCATTTATGCTTTTTTTATGCACGTTATTGTCATATCAGCAAAATCCAATATTGAATGATCCTATTATTCATATGTATTGATATATTAGTACATAAACATAAAATGTCAATGTGAACAGAACAAAACATGTGTTTTGCAGTTGAATGTGTGCCTGTTTAATTACGCAAAATAATGATACATAATTTATTTTGAGATTGCATGGGTTTGTCCTGTATGGACATGTTTTTGCTTTAAATGTTAACTAAAATAAAATAAAATATTAAACAAAAAAAAAACTAAAATTTCTTTTATTGCAGCAACATTTATCATTTTCATTTAGTTTAACTTTTTTTTTGAAGTACTTGAAGTACTAAAATAACTAAAAAATAAACTAAAATAAAAATGAACAAAAACACACACACACACACACACACACACACACACAGGTTTGTTTTTGTGAAAAGTGGGGACATCCCATAGGCGTAATGTTTTTTCTACTGTACAGACCGATACAAATGGCAAAAACAAAAAAACTACTGAAACTAACTAAAATTTTAATTTAATCACAAAATATAAAAATAAAAACATTCAAAATAATAATATAAATAAGAGTAGCATTTCAATGATACTAACATTTAATAAACTTTATTTGTGCAGGTCTTTGTTTTTAAAACTTGCAAAGGTTTTTCACTCAGCATTTGATTATCAAGACTATCACTGGCTGGATTTGAACCTGCAGCTCCCATATGAGCACCACGGCTGGTGCATGTGCACAGACTGCTAGGCCGTGACTCCAACAGCGTTATATTTTTGTGTCCTCACACTATTTTCCACTCTCTGATGGTTAACAGATTGCTGCATGATCTACTGTCCAAAAAAACCCCAAAAGCATGCAGCACTTCTTCACTATGTGCCACTATCACCATCTGCTGCTGAAGATACTTTCATCTCACAGCATCTCACACCATAAACACGTTGACTAGCTCGTCTGTGGCTCTAATCGAGGAACGAGGGTGACGTATATGGACCAGTGGGCCGTATTACAGCACATTTCAGTGATTGAATCTGAATTCATGTCTGTCATGAGATCAGGTTCAGACTGAATCAGGGCTAAAATGCCCAGATTTTCTCTGTGTGTGGGTTTTGAGGTCTGTGTGTGGTGTTGGAGTTGTGCACACTCTTAGTCAACACAGAGAGCCACATGCTGTTCAGTGGAGATTGTGCTTTAATGTTGTTAAATCAAGACACAAACGTGCATAATAGTGACCGACTCAATGTTTGACATTAACATGCAGATTTATTATTGTAACAGTGAATATTGATGATTGTGTATAAGAGTGAATGCTACCTGTAAGGAATTTATTCAGGTGATTTCATCCAAAAATCCAAAGTAAAAAAAAAGCAAGAAATTTAATCTTGCATTAAGCCTAGTTTTTAGGATCAGTAAGTTTTTTTTGTTTTTTCTTTTCTTTTTTGCACATATATATATATATATATATATATATATATATATATGTGTATATATATATATATATATATACACACACACACACACACACACACACACACACACATATTTAAACTGAAACTTTTTGCTGCTGTATTATGTAAATTGATTTTGACCTTATGACACTGGATGCATTGAAAATGAGTTTTGTTTGCCCATGAAAATGTGTGGGTGGTTGCCAGGGTGTTGCTAGGTTATGGTGGGAAGTAAACTGTATTATTGCACAGCTTTATATATATATATATATATATATATATATATATATATTTTGATATTTAAAAAAATTGGTGCAATAATGACAATCATAAAGATCACTGTGAATTACAAAGACACATAAAATATATATATATATTTACATATAGTCCACACATTTAATTTTCAAAGACGTAATTGTCATTGAAACGTAGCCTGGACATGTTTTCGTGAGTTTCATCCAATATATGCCCGGACATGAATATGTATGATATGCCAGTATCTCTCTGATGTACATGATGTTTTCCTCCTCAACAGAGCGCAGTTTAAAGGAGAGCACTCTGAAGTATATTGAGCTTCTGGAGGACAGACTTCACAGGTAATGAATATTTCTCATCTCTCTTTCACACAAACAGCCCCTCTTCTCATCCCTCGGGTGGTTTTTCCTTATTATTTAAACAGTTCACACTGTCTGGCCTTATTTCAGTTCTGTCTCTCTGGATGTTTCAGTGTATTAAATCATTCAGGTCTGCGCTGACTGCATCAGACTGTTCCAGTCTTCATCTGTCCAAAGTGACGTCTCAAAATTAACCAAATGAAGATGTGGACTGCCACTTCAATAAATGGTCTCGCTAGAAAAATTTATTTGTTTTGAGCACTCTTGGCTCATTTTTGGTGTGTTTAATGATTTTTAGAGCTCTAGAGCCACTTGCAGCTTTTTCTGGGCAAGAACCACCCAGAAGAGACCAATCATTTTATTTAATAATATTGTATACATAGAGAGAAAAAAAAAAAAAATATATATATATATATATATACAGTGACATGCGAAAGTTTGGGAACCCCTTGCAGAATCTGTGAAAATGTGAATAAGGGGTGGGTTTATCCAAAACAATATTATTTAATAATAATGATGATGATGATGATGATTATTATTATTGTTATTGTTATTGTTATTTATTATTATTATTATTTATAGATTTTTAGATAAACATTGATATCCTTGAAATATATAATTCAAAAATATATACATATTTAAAATTAATGCTAAAAGCAATATCAGCTTTAACTAATTATATAATCATGCAGTCAGAATTATTACTATTGTTGTTGATTATGATGTTGTTGTTATTTTTTTAAATATACATTTATTTTTTAGATAAACCTATACTTATCTAAAGCTAAAGCTAATATTAGATCTATAAAAAAAACATTTTGTTACTTAACATAGAATAAATGTTAACTGAAATAAAATAATATACTGTATATATATATAAATATATATATATATATATATATGAAGAAACACTTATTTAAGAATGTTATTCTTCATCTCCAGTAACATTTCTTATTTTAATTTGATGTACTAAAATAACTGAAACAGAAATAAAAAATACTAAAATGACTAAATATTACTGAAATTAAAGTGAAAATTTAAAATATAAAAATAAAAACAAATTCAAAATATTAATAAAAACTATAATAGTATTCTAGTAATACTAAAATAAGACTGGATAAACCTGAATCTCCTTGAAAATATATAAATATATAAAAAAATAAGTTAAATGCAACTAACAACTGCAACTAGCTATATAAGTCAGAATTATTATTATTATTTATTATATTAATAATAATAATGATCATAATTACAAATAAAAATTGCTATATTTTTTTTTTATATTTATATTTAAACCTGGATATCCTTGAAAAATATAATGCAAAAATATATAAATATATTCATGCTGTTTAATGCATTATTAATAATTTAAGGGCATTATTATTTAATTTTGTATGAGAAACAATTATTGGACGTCATTTGATGTCCAGTGTAAAATCTGGCTCCTGAAGCAAAACCATTTGAGAAGCACTGGTTTAATTAATGTGAAAATGGGAACACAATCCTGCCCTGTTATTTCTGACCTTGTGATATTGAGTCCACATGATGGGAGGACCAGAAGCTGTAAATTTCATGCATACTAATGGAGACGAAAGGTTAAACGAGTGCCAGACTTTCCTTAGCTGCAAAATCCAGCTGCATATCTCCACGAGCGACGTTGTTTTATTTAGCTTCGCTCTCGACATAAATGCAACACAAATTGGCATAATTGAATGAGTTATTAGTAGCCGTACCCAACCGTAGAAATGTAGCATTCATTACATTTCAATAAAACACTATGGGCGGCCATCTGGAGGGAAGTGTGGCATATGGTTTACCGTTCGCTCCTTTGCAAAAGCACATGCTCGGATGCCAGAAGCGCTGTCTGTTGCCAAGGTGATTACTGTACGAGTTGAAGAGGAGGGGCCGCGGCGCGGGACTCTCTCCGGAAACCCTCGTTTCTCACTTTCCTTCAATTTCATTTTAGCCGGAGTGATTGTTCTCCTTGTTACTCACCATGGAAACCTGCCGCGATGACTCTGAAAGCAGCTAGGCATTAGCCGGCGGTCGCACTCAACCCCGCCATGGTTCTTTTGTTAGCCGCGCTCAAATAAATGGACTCTCCCTCGTTTTATTTTCTGCAAATGGGAGTATTAAAGGAATAGTTTGGCCAAAAATGAAAATATACCATTCGCTCACTCTCATGACTTACTTTTTTCTGTTCAGAATGTCCACACTGATTGTTTTCATACAGTGAGAGTAAATGAGGACGGACACGGTCAAACTTTTTTTTTTTTCATTATTACATAAAAAGCAGCATTAAAGTACCTTTTATGTCATTTTGGATCCTCTGGTCATTATAAGTATGAAAAAATAATGTTAACGTTTTCCTAAATTGATTTTTGTGGTCGACGGGAATTTTTTTTTTTTTTTTTTAAATGTTCATTCTTATTATTAATATTAAAATTATTTTTTAATTAGGCAGAGTATGCAGAATATATAAGCTAAAAGTTTGGAATAAATCGATTTTTTGAAATGTTTCTTCTGCTCACCAATGCTGCATTTGTTTGATCTAAACTACAATAAAAACAGTAATATTGCCATTTAGAATAACTGTTTTCTGTGTGAATGTATGTTCAAATGTAATGTATTCCTGTAATCAAAGCTGAATTTTCAGCATCATTACTCCAGTCTTCAGTGTCACATGATCTTCAGAAATCATTCTAATATGCTGATTTGCTGATCAATAAATATTTATTATTATTAATATTATGAATGTTGAAAACAGTTGAGCTGCTTCATATTTTTGTTGAAACCATGATATACTCTATGATTCAAAAGTTTGGGGTAACTAAGATTTAAAAAGAAGAAGAAGAAATTAATACTTTTTTCAGCAAAGATGCATAAAATTGATCAATGGTAACAGGTAAGACAGTTATAATGTTACAAAACGTCTCGGTTACGTATGGTAACCCTCGTTCCCTGAAGGAGGGAACGGAGACGTCACGTCGGATGACCGACGAAATTGGGATCTCGCTTAGAGGGACCAATCTACTTCGAGTGTAAACTAAACGAGCCAATGCACATTGGCATGCGATTATTGCATCCAGCTGCTGCTGATCACAGCGTGAGTATAAGTAGGCAGCAGATGCAACGCATATTCAGGTTTTCGCTGAGGAGCCGAGACGGTGACCCGGCCGCTCAGCGGTGGTACAGGAACTGTGGCGACGGGACATGACGTCTCCGTTCCCTCCTTCAGGGAACGAGGGTTACATACGTAACCGAGACGTTCCCTTTCAGTCGGTCACTCTCGACGTCACGTCGGATGACCGACGAATTGGGATCTCGCATAGAGGGACCAATCTACTTCGAGTGTAAACTAAACGAGCCAATGCACATTGGCATGCAATTATTGCATCCAGCTGCCGCTGATCACAGCGTGAGTATAAGTAGACAGCAGATGCAGCGCATATTCAGGTTTTCGCTGAGGAGCCGAGCCGGTGACCCGGCCGCTCAGCGGTGGTACAGGACCTGTGGCGACGGGACGTGACGTCTCCGTTCCCTCCTTCAGGGAACGAGGGTTACATACGTAACCGAGACGTTCCCTGAGATAAGGGAACGAGCGTTGCATTGAACGCTTATGGGGAAACTCCTGTTTACTCTGATACTGAAGCCTGATTTGTTCA